AGTAACAAGGATAATTAGCGGAAGTCATGGCTCTTATCATACCTTGATCCACCTTTTATTGCTTTTTTATTTTGTCTGGTTATTATGTTTTCTTCTGTGTGTGAATAATTTGACTGAACTATTTCGAGTGATTGTTGGGCCGTGAGGAGTGGGGAGAGGCTGAAGCCCATTAGCAATTGATTTTCTTCCATTCTTTAGGTATCGGGCTCGGTTTAATAAAAATAAGAAGTTAAAGGAAAATGAGCATGATTTAGAATTTGCTTTTACTTAGTTTTCTTTATTTATTTTGCTATATTGAGCGCTAGTAGCATATTTAGGCCGACAAAATTTGGGTAGGCAAGCCTTAGGATTTTTGTCAGTTTTGAGGCGAGAGGTCGTTCCCTTAGTTAAATTTATTCTGGGAATGCCCCGAAGGATTTGTATATATTTTATCCAGGGTATGCCCCAATGTATTTGTATTTGGAGGTTGAGAGCAAAACTCGTAGTACTTATATTCTTGTTTTATATTATTAGGTGGGGACGACCTCGAGCCTCTTTTTGATTGTTTATTTTCTTTTTGTGTGCTTTTACCTCAATTAGAATATCCTTTAAAGCCAACTAGATCAAGTATGCAACTGTACTAGTTACGGAACTTGGGAAGTGCCTAACACCTTCTCCCCGAGTGAAGTGAAACCCCTTACCCGAATCTCTGGTGCAGACTTAATTTGGAGTCCAAAATGTTTTAAAAGGAAAAATTATTTAAAAAAAATGGTGACCTGACACACCGAAATCAAAGTCAGGTGGCGACTCTGAGTTATTTCATTTTGAACACAATTTTGTCACTTTTTTAATTAAAAACCCTTTTGAGCTTTACAAATCTTTTTATATTTTTAAGAGGGTTAGTGAGGTGGTGAAAAAAAGGGGTGTGCCTACAAGTTCAAGCTAGTACTTGATCTTGTTGGCTTTTTAGGATGTTCGGTTGAGGTTTTTATGTGTTTTGTTTGCTTTATTTGATTTTTATTTTCTTATGTTTTTTTATTTGCTAGTTGCTTATTTGTTTATAGTTTTTTCTTTATGTGTTACTGCTTTATAAATTGTCATTTGCATAACCCCGGGTCTTCTTCTGCAACAAGTTTCCGGAGTATGTTTGAGCTTACACGGTCTTTTTGTGAGTCACCCGTGTCTTTAGGGGGTGGCGTGGGATCGTGGAGTGGGCGGACAACTAATGCAGCCGCCATCGACCACTTGCCACCTCGAATTGCCTTGTCTAGTGAACCCCAAACGTAGGTTAGCCTTTTGGTCATGCTTATTTGCATCATATCATTTAAACCCAGCAGGATTCGGTCCCAGGCACCGTGTCCCGTTGTAGAAGGCCTATCCAAATTATGTCTAAATGAGCTTATGGCCCAAAAAGACATTTAATCATCCCTATATGCTACATGCTGCATCTCTTTAGGGGTAAAGGGGTCATTTGGCAGACTAAGGATATTTGAGAGTGAAATATAAAATGAAGCAAGTAGGGCCCACTCACATTTTTCTTTCATAGTTTTCCAAAAATAAAAAAAAAGAGAAAAAGAAAATCCAAAAAGAATTTTATATTCCATCATTTTTCAAAAGACAAAAAAATAGTTTTTTCAAACTAGTTGCATTTCATTTTAAAGCTTTCTTCCATGTCCGATCTTCCCGAACTACGCGAACCTGATTCTCGTCTTCCGAGGCGGGATCCATAGGCAATCCACATAGGATCCGATCTTCCTAGCAAGTCTTAGGTTCCTAGCCTCGCGGGGTCTTAGCCAAATCTTGCATGTCTAGCCACCTTTGGCCACATCGGTCGTTCCTGCAAAATGGGATCATTTTTGCAAAGGTACCTCAATGACCCATGTTTTAGCATATTGAGTCCACAACTAGGTGTAATATTATTTCAAGGTCCATCCCCCGCCGCATCTGCGTGTCTAGCCACTCTTGACCAAATCGGCCATTTTTGCAAAGTGAGGTCATTACCGTAGTGTAATTTTGGAGACTGGATTCCTAAAGAGGTTGGGGGATGTATAGGTCTTCATGAGGTGTTTCCATGTCGTAGAGGTCATCCTAATTGAGTATTGCATTTTTAGACTCATTTAGCCACATAGGCCATTTTTGCAACAATAAGCCCAGTCATGTCTTGCGTGTGTCCAATAGGAGATGTCAACACCACATAGTGTCTTGAGTCACTCACTTTATTTAGCCTTATTCCTTTCAATAGGTATGGATCCATTTACCAAGGCTAGAGTGTCAATGGTGGTCAAAGTCCCTAGAAGGCTAGTAAAATGGTGGAACATGTTCACATTACTTGAGCAGCATGATCTGATGGGTAAATTAGGGACTCTTATTTCATTGATGGACATAACCCCCCATCCCGACCTTGTAGAGGCGATGCTGCCATTTTGGTACCAACAGGGAATGGTATTTAAGTTTGGGGATCTGAAAATGACACCCACCTTAGCTGAGATAGTCAGGTTGACTCGCTTGCCATACCTATACAAGGATTTAATTTACACAAGGGCTCATTCAAGCACAAAGTTCCTTAAGATCATAGGGATAGATTTGGAAAGCCACATGGGATGTCTAGATCAATCTTGGGTACCTTTGGACTTTTTATTCAAGAGGTTTGCTTATCCTACTAGGTATGAGACCTTCATAGATGAATATTCCATATTATATGATTCTTGGAAGAAGAGGCGTCCTATGGTCTTCGCTATTGCATTGTTGGGTCTCCTGGTATTTCCTTTGGAGGGTTGACATATTAGCACGCGTTTGGGGTCAATAGCCTTTGCACTTTTCCATGATAAACACAGTAGTAAGGTCACCTTGGTTCCAACAATTTTGGCAGAAATCTATCGTGCTTTGACTAGGATTCGAGAAGGTGAGAGGTTCTTTGAGGGAAGCAACTTGTTGCTGCAGCTGTGGATGTTGGAACACTTACATCCCACCACCATGTTTGAGAAAGATATGATTGACTGTTGTCTGAGAGATCGAGTGAAGTGCATCGAGCATAGAATGACGTTCGATAAGTTTGCCTTACCACTTAGAGTTCAGGCTTGGGTTGATTACTTAGGATACTTGACTGAAGAAAAGATTTTGTGGTCAATACCTGTGGAATGATTTGGACGTGTTCTTAGCAGGATCTCGCGTGCAAGACTTCTTGGTACTGATTGGACTTTGGTGTACTAGACCATATACCCCTGTTAGAGTGATGCGTCAGTTAGGGAGGCGACAAGAAGTCCCCTACATTCCTGATTCTCGTGACTTCATTAGGAAATTTGACACTATGCCTCACAGGGAGGTCGACATCCAGACCTATTGGCATCATGTAATGAAGATGGGTATAGATACTTTAGCAGCTGACTCGTATTCACCTCGGTATACCTATGAGTACTTCATATGGCTACAGTCTACTCAGCGGGGGGTAGCAGGCCATTGCCCCGACGTGTTAGAGGAGTATTTGACGAGGAGGCCACCTCACGGATATTACTTAGACAATTGATGGATCGATTTACTCAGGCAGAGGAGGCCCACACAGTAGAGAGAGTTGGGGTCCGAGCTACACTTCAGTTATTGTGATCACAGTTGGCAGGGTTGGTAGAGAACATGGGACAGCACCGTGAGTACCTTACTAAAATCAGCCTTCCTGATGCAGGCCCACATTCTAGGATTCTCATTCCCAGATTCGAGGTGTCCTTGTAGGGTATAATACAGAGCTTAGATTCGACAAGATTGACAGGGCCATCCGGACCTTCATCATACTTGTCTCAGCCAGGACCGTCGCATTCAGGAGCAGCTTGAGGAGTCATTCTATTTAGATATTTTGAGATTGTCTTATGTTGTCTTTTACTTTCGTGTGTTGTCTAGGAGTACTGAGTCCTTCAGGTAATGTCAGAGTCTGTCGTAGTGTAGTTGAGTCTGTCGGGTCTTTCATTATCGTACTTCCCATTGTATTTTAATATCGAAAAGTTTTTAAATGAAAAAATCCCAAAAAGCTTTTATTTTTAGTTTATTTTCCATAACTTTTCCAGAACTACGCTTGGTATGATTCATGAGGGACATGATACGTAGGCAACCTACATCGGGATCGATCAAATCATTTTTGGTTAAACAAAAAAACAAAAAAAACAAAAAAGAAAAGAAGAGAGTGATAAGCCAAAATAAAAGAGTGGGAAGAAAATGATGTGTGATAAGAGGTGCAAGAAAAGAAAGAGAAGCAAGGATTGAAATGAGCAAATTGGGATGATGCCGTATGACCCTGCGACCCTTCAAAGCCATTGTAGAACCACTAATATTTTCTAGGTGCATTGCACGTAATGTGATATTATTATCTGATAAATGCCCTAACGCTAACATGGTGATTTTGTGTCATTGTCCTCGGTTATCTTTATTTAATTACAGGAAGGTGGTTAGTTTGTTGGCATCCTGGTAAGCCATCCATACAACACCAGGTCAAAGCGCCAAACAGTCATGGCTAGCAAAGAAACAGACATAGGAGTTGTAGACCCACCAAAGGAGATTGTTGAATCGGAATCGGAACTACAAGAGGAGGTCCGAAGGTTGAAGCATTAGATGGAGGAAATGTATCAGTCCTGGATTAATGGACACCTTCCACCCTCGTTTCCTACCAACTACACAGAAAATTCTGCCTCTATTCTACCACTCTCCCAATCCCAGATGCCCAATACCGTTGATCTTTCCCCACAACACGCACCGGGCTTTACCCCTTACCACAACTACCCCGGCACTTCGTCCCAAATCTTCCATCCTCCACTAGCCAAATCAACCTCATACCTTGCTCCAACATCTGCTCCTATTTTTGTACCCCCTCCATAAGCTACCTCCATCGATCCTCTAGTGAGCCTGTATTCCCAGCTCTAGATACCCAATACTATGCCCCGGAGCCCAACTTCAAAGTCCCAGATCTTTACTCCTACACTCCCCACTTTGAGCCTCATTTTGAAACTGAGAAACCACCCAAGAATGTGGAATAAGATGAGATGTTCAGGAAGCTGAGAAGCCTGGAACAGTCGCTCAGAAACATGCAGGGGTTGGGAGGCCAAGTGAGTGTAGCCTACACAGATCTGTGTCTGTTCCCTAATGTCCAGTTACCTGTTGGATTCAAAATGCCCAAATTCGACTTGTATGACCGGCACGGAGACCCCGTGGCCCACTTAAGGCGATTTTGTAGCAAAATGAGAGGAGCCAGTGGGAAAGATGAGCTTTTAATGGCATACTTTAGCCAGAGTCTGAGTGGCGCGGTATTAGAGTGGTACACTCATCAGGATCACAGCAGATGGTATACCTGGGATGATTTGGCCCAAGCATTCGCCCGGCATTTCCAATACAACACAGAAATCGTTCTAGATCGTTTGTCTTTGACTAAGATAGAGAAAAAGCCTGGTGAGATTTTTAGGGAATATGGTTTTCATTGGAGGGAACAGGCAGCACGAGTCAACCCTCTGATGGAGGAAAGTGAAATGGTAGAGTACTTTCTTCAAGCTTTGGAGCCTACTTACTTTGGTCATTTGATATCGGTCATAGGTAAGTCTTTCAACGAGGTAATGAAGATGGGAGGCATGGTAGAAGAAGGGCTTAAATCGAGCAAGATCATGAGCTACTCAGCTATCAAAGCAACTTCCCAAGCAATTCAGAATGGTACTGGCGGAATAATAGAAAAGAAGAATAAAGAAGATGTTGCAATGGTTGTCTCGGGATCATGGCATGGTTCGAGGGGTACACCACACCATTACGCCCAGCCTCGACCCTATACATGAACCTACCCCCAAACCCCATATAATCCACCTCAATATTATTTTCCATCACTAGACCCTTAATATTCTGTCAAGCCACCTCAATACCATGTCCAATACGCCCAATCATACACTCAACCTCCTTCTTACCCACAATGGCACCCAGCCCCACAGAATACCTACCCAGCTCCACAAAATGGCTACCCACCTCCACAAACATACCGAAACCCTGCCAGTCCAGGCTTCCGGCCCAAGCCAGTATTCAGAAATAAAAGGCTACAGTGGAAGAAAACATTCACCCCGCTTGGAGAGTCTTATACAAATCTATTCCAGAGATTGAGGCAGTTGGATGAGTTGAGTCCAATGGTGTCAAAATTTCCAAACCTTCTTCCAAAGAATCTAGATTACTCCCTCAGCTGTGAAAATTGTTCTAGTACTCCGGGGCACGATAAGGAAAAGTGTTGGCATTTGAAAAAAGCCATCCGAGAGCTCATCGACATAAATCAGATTGTGGTCCAAATTCCGGAAGCACCCAACATCAATCAAAATCCATTGTCGGCCCATGATGAAATGAATATGATCAAGATAATACATAAGGATGGAGATCCCAAGAAGCCTTCGCAATCCGTCATGATGATCCGGTCTAGTGAGGTTAAGTCAATCAAGGGCTCAGTTGTCACAAAAACAACCTCTTCGATAGCTGAAGGATCAACAAACAAGTTGAGCATGCCAAATGATAAGCCATCTGTGGTAGTTGAGAAAAGATCCCCAAGTGATATTGTAGCAAAGCAAGAAAAGCCAAAGGTGATCGTGCTGGAGGTGGCAAATAAGCCTATCATAATTGTGGAGGGTGCCCGCACAGATCCTATCATTATCAAACATGTGACCCAACTGCCAATAGTCAACACCAAGGCTGTCCTATGTAATTATGAGTGGGTAATAGTGACCTATAAGGGGAAGGAAGTGAAAGAGGAAGTTAATGAGGCCTAGGGATTAACTCGCTCGGGGAGATGCTTTGCCTGGAAGAGTTAAGGAAAGCTAAAACACTCAGAGACAATCCAGTTCTAGTGAAGAAATTGATCACCGAAGAAGAGGCTGAGGAGTTCTTGAAAAAAATGAAAGTGCAGGATTATTCCATTGTGGAGAAGTTAAGGAAAACACCAGCTCAGATTTCTCTTTTGTCTTTGCTGATACATTTAGATGAACATCGCAGGGTCCTGATGAAGATTTTGAATGAGGCACATGTTCTTGATAAGATCACAGTGAATCACTTGGAAAAGATAGCTAGAAAGATCTTCGAAGTAAACAGGATCACTTTCTCAGATGATGAACTTCCTATGGAGGGTACAGAACACAACCGATCTTTTTATCTCACAATGAAGTGTGAATATTCTGTTGTCGCAAGGGTTTTGGTTGACAATGGCTCTAGTGCGAATATTTGCCCCCTGTCTACTTGCAAAAATTGAAGATCGACACCGAAAGAATCCATATGAACAGTGTGTGTGTTCGAGGCTTTGATGGGGGAGGTAAAGATTATGTTGGAGATATAATACTCGAATTGTCGATATGGCCCATTGAGTTTACCATGAAATTCCAAGTGTTAGATGTGGCTGTCTCTTACAATTTGTTATTGGGCAGGTTTTGGATACTTGCTGCTAAGGCAGTCCCGTCTTCTCTCCACCAAATGGTGAAGTTCGAGTGGGACATGCTGGAAATAGTTGTGCACGGTGATGAGGACTTGTCAGCTTGTAATGACAGAATTGTTCCGTTTATTGAAGCTGAAGATGATAAAGGACCTTGGGTCTATCAAACTTTCAAAACAGTGTTTGTTGAGAAGATTCCTAAAGGAAAATGCATTCTGGATCCTAAGCTATCATCCGCGTCTGTCATGGTAGCGAATGAAATGTTGAAGAATGGTTTTGTGACAGGCGAGGGTTTGGGCTCATCTCTGCAGGGTATTTTGCATCCAGTGCGCCCCAGTGGTAATCCTAGTACATTTGGTTTGGGATTCACGCCCATAAAGAAGGGCGTGAAAAGGGTTAAAAACATGAAACAGAAGGTATGGTCACTCCCCAAGCCTGTCCCACACATCTCTAAGTTTTTTGTCAAGCAAAGGGCCGAAAAACATCCAACCTCATCAATCCCAAAACATGTGGTCGATGTTGATGAAGAGCTAATTAAGAGGTTCTAGAGTCTGTTCGATGAGGTCAATATGGTAGAAGTTGGTGAAGGTTCTAGTAAAGCAGATGTGCAGCTCGTTGGGCCAAATGTGAAGTTTAGCAATTGGGAAGCTACTCCTCTCCCCACCATGAAGGAGTTTTAATAGTTTGCTTTGTTTTCCTTTCTGTTAGTTGGATTATTTCAGGGTTGTAATCCAGATTTTTAGTTTTTGCTTGTTTTGATGTTCAAACCCTTCTATACTTTTATTTTCAATGAAATGTAATTTCCCGTTTTCCATTATTTCTAATAGTGTTTCATTTTGTTTTTCTTTTGTACAATTCTTTTTATGCTGGTTGCAATGACATGACATGCATGAGGAATTTTCAGCCAAGTCTTAAAAGCCAATCTAATTCTGAAATTATAATCTAAAAAATAGAGCATGATGATGAAACAGAATATGATGAAGAAGCATCATTTGAGGAAATCAGTAAAGAGCTAAAACAATTTGAAGAAAAACCAAAGCCTAATTTGAGTGAAACTGAAGCAATCAACTTAAGGGACCGGGATAATGTTAGGGAAACCAAGATAAGTGTGCATCTAGAACCGCAAGTTAAGGAGGAAATAATCAAAATATTGTTTGAGTACAAAGATGTCTTTGCATGGTCATATGAATATATGTTGGGCTTGAGCACTGATCTGGTAGTTCATAAATTGCCAACTGATCCGGCATTCCCTCCTGTCAAGAAAAAGTTACGAAAGTTCAAGACTGACATGAGTGTGAAGATCAAAGAAGAAATCATAAAGCAGCTTAATGCAAAGGTCATTCGGGTCACTCGATATCCAACTTGGTTAGCTAATGTGGTGCCAGTACCAAAGAAGGATGGTAAGACCAGGGTATGTGTTGATTATCGTGATCTTAACAAAGCAAGCCCAAAGGATGATTTTCTGTTGCCGAACATTCACATTCTGATCGATAATTGTTCCAAGCATGAGATTGAGTCTTTTGTGGATTGCTACGCGGGATATCACCAGATCTTGATGGATGAGGAAGATGCAGAAAAGACAGCGTTCATCACACCATGGGGAACATATTGCTACCGGGTAATGCCATTTGGTTTGAAGAACGCTAGGGCAACTTACATGAGGGCGATGACCACCATATTTCATGACATGATACACAAGGAGATTGAGGTTTATGTAGATGATGTGATTATAAATTCAAAGAAGCAGTCTGACCATGTCAAGTATTTAAGGAAGTTTTTCCAAAGGCTCTACAGGTATAACCTCAAGCTCAATCCAGCAAAATGTGCATTTGGTGTCCCGTCTGGGAAACTGCTGGGATTCGTGGTCAGTCAACATGGTATTGAGTTGGATCCGTCGAAGATCAAAGCCATTCAAGAGCTACCACCTCCCAAGAACAAAACAGAGGTGATGAGCCTGCTTGGAAGGTTAAATTACATCAACAGGTTTATTTCTCAGCTCACGACAACCTGTGAACCCACCTTTAATTCTCTATTTGACAGTCTTGGATAATTCTTTTGGCTGTGTATTAGGTCATCATGACATCACGGGAAAGAAGGAGCAGGCAATATATTATCTCAGTAAGAAGTTCACTCCCTATGAGGTTAAGTACACTCTACTTGAGTGTGATGATCCGACCTGTCGTCTCGTGAGTTACTGCCCCATTTTTCCCATTTCCTATTTCTTTATGCTTCATTATCAGTGTTGGGTGTGAACGAGTTGATTTGGATTGGTTTTAGTAGAAAATGAGACACTTAGTCTCTTTAAGGAAGGTTTATTTTGGAAAAGTCAACCGAACGTTGACTTATGTGTTAGAAGGCTCGGATTTGAATCTTGATGATTTGGTTAGCTTCGGGGGATGATTTGTGACTTAGGAGTGTGATCGGAAGTAATTTTGGAGGTCCAGTGTAGAATTAGGCTTGAATTGGCAAAGTTAGTATTTTGGCGAATTCCGGTTGATAGGTGAGATTTTGATCCGAGAGTCGGAATGGAATTCCGAGAGTTGCTATAGCTTCGTTAGGTGATTTGGGATATGTGTGCAAAATTTCAGGTAATTCGGACGTGGTTTGGTCGGGTTTTTTATCGAAAGTGTATTTCAGAAGTTTTTAGAAAATTAGGCTTGAATTCGATGAGTTTTGGGTAATTTGATGTTGTTTGAGGTGTTTTGATGATTGGAAGAGGTTTGAATAATGTTATGAATTATGTTGGCATGTTTGGTCGGGGTCCCATGAGGCTCGAATAAGTTTTGGAAGAATTTTTGGAAGATTTTTGCCGTTTGAGGTAAGCATGTAATGATCCAAAGGTCCATTTTGAGTTCTAGAGATCGAAATTTTATTTCGAGATTTCCAAAATTTAAACAATGAATTATAGGAGTGATCTGGAAAGTTTGGTCTAATTTCATCAAGTCGCGATTGGGTTTTTGACACGAAACATGAGTTAATTGTTTAACGAGCGAAATGGATATCGCACTGAGCAAACGAGCTCCGAATTGAGTTTCGATTGAAGGACTATGTTCGTATCATTATTTGTGACTCATAGGAACAATAATCATCGAATTGAGTTCGTATGATAGAGTTAGAGCCATTTTAGTAAAAAGAAAAGTGCTGCAATTTCTTTGGCTGTTGCTGTATTTTTTTAGCAGCGTGAACAGTAACCGCGCGGGTGAACAGTGACCATGCGTTTGAACAGTAACAGCGCGGGTGAACAGTACTTTCGAAAAATTTGAGTTTACAAAACAAATCATCCGCGATTTTGGGTCATTTTTCCTCCATGGTTGATCATTCTGAGAGCTTCTTGGTGGTGATTAAAGAGGGATTCAAGAGGGAACGACTTGAGGTAAGTTTCTTGGACTTAGAACTCGTTTTAATTGTGAATTCCACCTAGAGATTCATGAAATATAAGCCTACAAATCAAGAACTAGGGCTTGAATTTTGAAACCAAACAATTAGGATTTGATGGGTCATTTGAACTCGGATTTAGGAGTTCTTGGTATGTATAGACTCGTGACGAGACAAGGAATCCGATGATGTTAATTTTCTGATTTTTCAAGATGTTGGCCCGGGCTCGAGTTTTGTCAAGTTCGTGAATTTTGATATTTTTCGATTGCTTTCGATTGGGTATTGTCTCTTTAGCATAATGCGACATATTCGTTGTGATTTTGGGCAGATTCGTCGCACGAGGAGGGTAATTTGAAAGGCAAGGGCATAGCGAGCTTGACTTTGACCGTCTTGAGGTGAGTAATTGATGTAAATGATGTCCTGAGGGTTTGAAACCCCGGAATTTCACATCGTAACGCTATATTGAGGTGACTTGCACGCCGGATAACGGGCGTGGGGTAGAGCACCGTTGGGGATTGTGACTTGGTCCGTCCCGAGAGATGTTTTTACCGTGTTTTCTACTTGAACTAAATTGAGAATCATCCTTACTTGGATTTAATTGTTACATTTGGGCTTCTTGCCAATTATTTGAATCCTTCAGGGATTGATATCACTGCTTTCGCATATTTTGCATATCATTTGACCTCAGTCCAAGGTTTTAAATACTGTTTTGCAAACTCAGCCATCTTTCTAAGATTTGAAAACTTAAATGATATTTCTAAATGATATTTCGGGCTGAGAACTACTATTTTACAAATGCCCAAGGGGCTTATGATGATTTCTGGACTGAGCATGGATCGGGCTGCGCGCCGCAGCAGTGTTATATTGATATTGAGGCCGAGAGCCTGGTTGATTACATTGATATTGAGGCCGAGAGCCTGGTTGATTACATTGATATTGAGGCCGAGAGCCTGGGTGATTATACTGAGATTG